GAGAGAGAGAGAGAGAGAGAGAGAGAGAGAGGAGAGAGGTTGGAAAAATTGTACACGCGTATTTGGACGAATCCGGTGAAACGTATACGCGTACGAAGAAAGAGACACACAAGAATGGGGTGAAAGGGATAGGGTGATAGCGCCACGTTGTTGTCGTCGTCGTGCTACGCAACTTCCCTCGATCCGTCAATATTTGTATTTAATTTTCATCTCCTGCCAGCGTTAATTGCTGCTCGCGCCTGCTCGCACGCGTGTCAATATTCGCGAATATTCGGCTTCACGCTTCGCTTTTTTCCCCTCATTTCGCGCCACCTGTTTATCGGAACGATGACGATGATGACGATGATGCGGCAGTTATGCAGTTCGTTATACACGTCGAAAAGGAAAAAGAAAAGAAAAATCAAGATCCTCCATACTTTGCACTTACCTTCCTAACTTTGACGTTGAAATTTATGATATTAACGAGTATTGAACGTGCCGATTCTCCGAGCTTTGCTCCATTTATTAATGGATATGATAAAGGGAGATGGAAGGGAACATCGCTTATATTCATTCGAATATCCTTTCTAAATAGTTATTTCCATTCCAACGAGATATAATCCTCGATGAAACGAGAACGAAGAATCACGAGAAACGTAGGATTGAAGGATAGAAAAGAAAAAGAGATTAGCTACACACACACACACACACACATATATATATGTACGTATATATTTCAACGATTTCGCTTATGCGCGAGTTTCGTGCATTTTTACCAGCGGGCTGGTGTAACGTGAAAACGATTTGAACCGAGTTCCACGCGTTCCAGTTCATTCCGACCCCGACCGTGTCGGCATTGCCGCTGCTTTTCCATCTTTTTAACTCCTGTTGAAAGTACAATATTAATTCTTTATACACGCCTCCCCTCGACACGCGAATGATACTCGTTCCGCGCGGAAAAGAGCTATTACGCGAGCTGAAAAACGCGCGCGGCTTTTCCTCCGGCTCACTTCGTTCTGAAAGGCTTTCGCGATCGTGTTTTATTCGTTTCTTTTTCTCTTGGAACTCTTGGAGCAATAGGCGCGAATTTGTCCGATCACAGGTCGACTGTTTCCACTTATTTCGATGTGAAGATCTTTCACGGGTCATCGTTAGATGATTATTCTGTTCCGAGTCAAGTTTGATTATTTGCAGTGAAATTGCGGAAAGGAGAAGTGACTCGTAATATCATTATTTGTAATTGGTGAATTTTTTGATAAATGGATTAATGGATAATTCACATTGTTAATCGTTGAAACTGTTGTTCAAAAGGAACGAGAGTGAAAATACGAATTACAAAACTAACTCACGACTTTACTTACATTGTTATTCATGATTATGATTAAATATATCATCTCGCCAATGAATCAATAGCAAAGTCAACGATTCCTCGAACGAGAAACAGAACAAAGTTATTTTAAAATCCTAAATACGAATCACAAAAATAACTCACGATTTTACCTACATTATTATTATTTAAAATCACTGATTAAATATATTATCTCGCCAATGAATCAGTAGCGAAGTCAACGATTCCTCGAACGAGAGTGAAACGGAGCAAAGCTATTTTAAAATCCTAAATACGAATCAGAAAGATAATTCACGACTTTACCTGCATTATTAATCGTTGAAACTATTATTCAAAAGATATCAGTATATCATCTTATCGATGAATCAGTAGTAAAATCAACGATTCCTTGAACGAGAAACAGAACAAAGTTATTTTAAAATCCTAAATACGAATCACAAAAATAACTCACGATTTTTGTGAACGAGAAACGGAACAAAGCTATTTTAAAATTCTAAATACGAAT